AGATGTACCTTGAGGTCATAAGTTAAGTGTATGAATCAGACACACAAACTTAAATATCTCATAGTTTCTCTTGTATGAGACACTCAAATATAAATAAAAAAGTAAAACAAAAGATAGATAATACGAAAAAGAAAGTTTCCTAAAAAGAGTTCTTGGTTTATTGATAAAAATATTGTGATTTTATTCCTGCATTTTGTGATTTCTGTAGTATTTGACAACTTTTTAAAAATGTATAAACTTTAGTCTTCACTAATCAAGGTTCTCTTCCATTCATGATTATAGCACTTTGTATTTTTGTCAAGTAAATAAATCTTTGAGTGTGAAATAAAACTTTAAATGCACATGCATGTAAAAATAGTAAATAAAACATGACAATAGAAGACAATTGCAGTGGATTGCCCTCAAAATACTCCCCTTGCTTCAAATACACTTATCCCATCATTCTTATCTCTCACTGGGTTTTTGATCAAACCTTATAAAGACACTCAGGAAAGAGGACTTCAGAACTGCTTCAGAAAGTAACAAGAACAGCTGAGCATGGTGGTATACACCTGTACTCCCAGCACTCAGGAGGCTGAGGCAGGAAGTCAGCCTGGGTTCCATAGTTAGTTCAAGGCCAGCTACATTGGGAGACCCTGACTCAAAAAACAAAACCAAACGAAGAAAGTTGGCAAGGTCAGTGGGATGAGAATGTATGAAGTAAGGGGAAGTATTTGGAGGGAGATTAATGTCAAGATGTCTTTTACTATAATAATTTCTTTTAACTTACTCATGCACCACATTGGTCAATTATACCTCCTCTAAGGACAAAAGGCAGATTCTATGTTTGGCCTTTGAAGGACAGGGACCCAGGTGAGGTGAGGCACATGCCCAGGATGGTAACTGAGCCAGCAGGAGCAGCAGTTGCTGGGTGTCCTGTGCCCTTGGTAGCCAAGGGCCTTCCCCAGTAGCTCCTGGGCAGGCCTGCAGGCTGGCCCCAGGACTTCTCCTACCCTGAGATTCCCTGACTCCTTCACAGAAAAGCCATCCCACGAAGTTAATGAGCAGCCTGGGGCCTGGTGTCCTTCACCTTTCAAGTAAACACCCAGCCAGGGCAGTGACATTTATCTCCAAGGCAAACAGCTGCCCCAAATCTATGACTGGCTGTATTTGCTGATGATGTCACATCCACCCCAGGCTTCCTGGTCGATGTGACTCAAAGGTGAGTGATTGGTCAAGGTGACTCATGCCTGGAAACATTCAGAACAGGCAAGAATGCGGCTCCAGGGTGTCCCAGCCCTTGGAGAACTAAGGGGGAGAGAAATCCCAGACATAGAGACTGACCTAAAAGGCTGCAGATGAAGGGGTGTCTCACACCCTCCCCCCAGCTCTCTCAGTACCTGGCAACCAGATCACTCAATGCTGCATGGGTAGAGCTCACAGCAACCTGGTCCCATTTCACAAGTGAGGAACAGAAAGACCCAGCACAGGAAAATGTCTTGCAGAGGACCTGCCACAAGCAAACGCCAGAAGCGCACACTCAGTGTCCCAGGGCAGAGGCAGCCAGGTCAGGCCAGGGGCAATGCCTTCCAGAGGCAGAGGAAAAGTTCTGCCAGGCAGGCCACCAGCAGCAGCGACTCCTCCAGGCAGTGACCTGGGAGCCTTTGGTGACTCCAGGGCAGTGTCTCTCAGTCATCACAAGTCATCTAGCCCCTCAGGGAGCTCCTGATCACTGCTGTTGATTGACTCATGACCTCACCCGGCCTCGAGGCCCGAAGGAGGAGGCCAGAAGCAGAACTGCAGATCTTGGTGCAATCATTGTTGACAGTGGAGATCAAAAGAGACCTGGAGGGGACTGGAACGGGGACAGCAGCCTCAGCCAGCAGTTCCAAGAGCAGGGGTGACTGTCCAGTTATGCTATGCCTTCCGAGGGTCATGCCCAGTGGCCTGGGGCCCAACAGTTACATCTTTCTGCTAAGCAGCACTTTTTAGGGTCTGTGTGACCTCTAACCATACCTAGGGGTTAGTTGGAGTCCTGCCCTGCCCACACCTATTGACTAGGAGGCCCCCGGGACAGGGTGTGATTAGCTCTGAGTCAGAGACCTTCTCAATGAGATAAGAGCTAAATCTGCGGGTCCTCCCACCATGTCCAGCACACTGTCCTGGGGCCTCATCCCATTACAGTGTCACCAGGTTCCAAATATCCAGACAGGACAGGTCCTGGCCATCCACAGCCAGTCTGCTTGGGGGAAAGTTGTAGCTGGTGCCAGACTGGTACCAGGCTGTAGGCAACACAGGCAACGCTCGCTGACCCTTGGCCACAGGGAGGAAGACTCTCTCAAGTCCAGACCCAGCTCTGCCCCATGGGCACAAAGCTCACCCTTTCCAGGCAAGGGAGCTGCAGGACACCTGAGTACTTTGCTCAGTGGGTGTCAAATATCCCAGTGTTTCATCACCTAGGAGTCTTGAATGATGGTTTGGGTCACAAGGAAGCAGCCAAACTTTCATCTCTCTGTGTGTTGTTATAAGAGAAATCTAAGAATTATGAATTCGTTTAAGAATCCAGAGACACGGGGCTGGGGATTTAGCTCAGTGGCATAAGTACCTGCCTTGCAAGCAGGTGGTCGTGAGTTCGATCCCTGGTACCGATAAAAATGAAAAAGACAAAAAAAAAAAGAGTCCAGAGACTTTACCATAATCATAGCTAGTAATAGTGCACGAATACTTTCCTGTTGAGGTGTGGCAGGCTGTGTGTTACTGGGGATTGAACTCAGGGCCTTTGCACTGAGCTACATCTCTAGCCCTATTTCTGTGTGTGTGTGTGTGTGTGTGTGTGTGTGTGTGTGTGTGTGTCTTTTTTTTTTTTTTCTCTTGTTCCATGAATCAAACTCAGGACCTTGTGCTTGCCAGGCAGGGACTGTTATTTTTCATTTTGAGACAGAGATTCACTAAATTGCCCAGGTTTGGCAGCAACTTGTGATCCTCCTACCTCAGCCTCCCAGAGGGCGGGAAATACAGTCATATTGTACTGTTGCTATTTTGTGGGAAGATTCACAGTAACAAGGACCAACTTGAAAGTAATGTGGATGATTGATTTTTATAAGGTTTTTATTTGCCAACTTTGAAAAATGACTTAGCAATTTATTTCTTTAAAATGTGGGTATAAAATGATGTTCTTCGATTAAAGTGAAATTAAAGTACTTTGGAGAGTAGCCTAAGATATAAACTCAGACAATCGGGAATTTTCAAGACTGTCCCTATTTTAATATTTCCCCTCTTTGGTTTCTATAATCATATTCAAGTCTGGTTGCTCATGGCTCTTTTGTTTTGTTGTTGTTGACAATGATGTTTAGAGACAGCGTTTTTATGTAACCCAGGATGGCCTCAAACTTAAGATCCTCTTGCCTCAGCCTCCTGAGTGCTGGAATTATAGGTGTGCACCACCATACCCAGAGGAGCTTTTGTTTTAATTCAAAAATATCATTCCCCAAAAGTAAAAGAATTGAGTATATGAAAAGTTTTCAAGAAACTCTTACCATTTGGATTTTTTGCTTTAAGATTCACAATCTTTGTATGTGTTAAATTCAACAAAATCTCAAATTCTCCTAAATTTTAAGCACAAGACACTTAGCCTCCTGCATCATCAGATTCACACAACTATGCACTGAAAATATTCAAACAAAAAATTGTGTGTACACTGAACACACATTTTTTTCAGGTCATTCTGCCCCACACAGTCCAGTAGGACAACTATGTATTCAGCGTTTATATTGTGCTAGGGATTAGAAGCCTTCAAGAGATGATCTGAAGAGGAGGGTGGGGCCTGGTGGTGTCTGTCTGTAACCCCAGCACTCTGGGAGGCTGAGGTAGGGGGTCAGAAGTTTGAGCCCAATCTGAGCAAACTAGTGACTTAGCAAGACCCTGTCTCAAAATTTAAAAAATTTAAAAACAACTGGGGAATGTAACTCAGTTCAAAGGGCTTGGGTTCAATCCCCTCTACAAAAAATAAAAAAAGGATTAGGAGGATGTACATGGGTTCTATGCAAATATTACATCATTTTGTATAAATAGGACCTAAGCGTCTGCAGACTGTGGTATTTACGAGGGTGCTGGAACCAGTTCCCATGGGAACTGAGGAACAACAGAATGTGTCCCCGAGGAGCACTGACGCTGCCAGCGACACAAGGCTGGGCTCTCTCTGAGGCCGCAGGAGGCTTGGGCTCTCTCCGCGCTCTGCTAGTCTTCTGCTCGCTCATGCTTAGCCTTGCTCATTGCTTTGGGCTTGTAGGTGGTGGCTACTTCTTGCATGATCACATCTGCTTTCTAGGAAGACCCAGAAAACAGACTTGTTTACTGTTTGAACATGCTCTAATTTTCTTTGTGCTCTTAATTGTAAGCAGACCAGAAAAAAATTTTTTTCTTTTTTGTACTGGAGATTGAACCCAGGATCTTTGTATTGAGCTTTATTCCCAGTCCACCGATCTCCTCTCCATTTTTTGGGACATGTTCTTGTGAACTTTAGACTTGTTGAGTTGCCCATGCTGGGATGGAATTTGTGATCTTCCTGCCTCAGCTTCCAAGAGCACTGGGATGACAGGCATGTGCCACCACGCCCAGCTGGAAATCACTTTTTCTGAAGCTCACCAACTCCTGTACCAGAAAACAAGCACTGAACATCTATCCTCATGTGCCTGCTGATGGCCTTACTGATGCTTCCACAACTACAGACTCTGAATATCCCTAAAGACAACAAATAATGCATGAAATGCACCTTTTTAACTGGCAAGTGCATCTTAATGATGAGTAGGAAAAGAGTGAAGCTCTTTCCACCGTGAATTTATGACTCGCATTTCTGGGCCCACTGTACTTCCTGACATCATAGCCAAACTCCTGCTAAAACTTTTATAGTGATCAGATACTGATGGGATGTTAATTGATGAAGCCAGCAGAGTTCCCATTGATCCTTAAGAATTTTTGCCACTCCACAGTCAATGTCAATATGTTGGGGACATTTTTAAAGAAACAGATAAATTACCACTCAAGGTTTTGCTTAATTATTTATAATTGTATGCATTTGCTGTAATGGAAAATTTCATTTTATGCTGAATTTCAAGATCTATGGGCCCGATAGCTCTTCTTTTAGCAAAACCAGGTAGCATTCTCTCATCGTTTACTGCCCTGCTGGATCTGCAGAAATTTAGTGACCATTGAGGTTCAGACTAAAAGGTCAGAGAATGTCCGAGCTGTTCTGGAGATGAATTCCCGTAGAAATGCTTGGGCTCAGCACGAACAGGGCTGGTGCAGTAAAGTGCCACCTGGAACATGAACAGAAATATGAGTGTGTAATAAAGTGGGTGCAGACAAAACAGATCATCACAGACAGAGACATCCTTGTGTACTGACTCTCTTCCTCCTCCCTGAGACGGAATTTCAACCCAGAACTGGAGGAAAAAAAAAAAAAAAAGTAAATCACCCTAGTGGAAAAGAATGTTCCACTCCATTCCACCCCCCTGGCATCTCCTGGTGTTCACATTGGAGCACAGCCTAGCAATCCAGGTGTCTTTCTTCTGGCTGCTCTACTGTGATCACAGCTGTATGGAAAGAAATCATTAATAAGCTGGGTGTGGTGCATGTGGAAAGAAAGAATCAGTAAGCATTTGGGAGGCTGAAGAGATAGAATCACTGGAACCCAGGAGTCTGAGGCCAGCTTGGGTGACACAGGGGGACTCTGCTTCAAAAGAAGGAAAAGGACATCGCCTGTAACCTCAGCATCTGGGGCACTGAAGCAGGACGATTGCAAGTTCAAGCTCACCCTGAGCAATGTATCAAGACCCTGTGTCAATCAATCAATCAATGGCTGGGGACATAGTTCAGGGCAAAGGCCCTGGGTTAAATCCCCAATACCAAAAAGGAGGGAGGAAAAAAAAGAAAGGAAAAGATGCAGAGAGAGAAAAGAAAAGGAGCAGAGGAAGGGAAACAGAGAATCATTTATTTGGTTCAATAAATTTCTGCAAAAGTAGTCTAGAGTATTATTTTCCAAGTCTTCTCTTTCAGAAAAAGCCCCATTAGAGGCAGGTAGAAACAGTTCCAGAACTTATTGAACTTGTTGATCAAGGAAAAATACTGCACACACATGCAAGATTTAAGTTCTCCTGAGAGGATATTTGCAGGAGTGGTCAATATTTGGAGTTTGGTAAGCATAGAAAATAAATTTGCTTGGGAAAGGAAGTCTAGGACTTTCTCTGCTCATGCTTTCCTATTGGAGGAGGAAAATCAAGACAAAACAAATGAAGACAGAGCAGATGTATCAAGCTTCTACAAACGCAGCCAGGACATTTCTGTACCAAGCCAAATTATTGAGAGGTTTTCACGACAACAGACCAGCATCTCTTCTCCCATTTTGCCCTTTGAAAGGAAAGAATGTTCAGGTTATCTTGGCCTTGCGCAAAGAGCCTCTCCCCACAGAGGCTGACCTGCACCCAGAAACAAAGATTTCACACTCAGAGCTGTGCACAGAAGATGGGGGGCGGGGTAGGGAATGGGGGGGGCGGGATTGGGACTTAATGAAACTTGAAGCCCAACTACAGTACTTAAGACATAACCAACAGGAGAAAAATGCCCAGCCTGATCTACGTACCATCAGAGGCAAAGTGAAACCCCACCCCCTGGCCTCCTGTGCAGTACTTAACCACTCCACAGCTTCACAGGGAAACAACACAGGCCCTTTCAGGTTTCGGGCAGACAGGACAACCTAGTGTATGACACTAAACAGGGGCCAAGTCTGAATTTTATACCACCCCTGGGTGAGCTCCTTGGAGTGCCTGTCAGGAGTAAGTAGAAAACTTGCTGAGAGGAATAATTTACAACCCAGCTGCAGGGAAATCCTTCAACATTGTTGAGCACTTATTCTGTGCTAAATACTGGGCAACCTGCAAAGACAAGGCAGAAATCATCCTTGCTACCATGGTGTTTGCCATTTAATGGTAAGACAAAGCTGGAGGAAAATAAATGGCAAAGCTGAGCTTAGTTGGTGCACACCTATAATCTCAGCACTCTGGGAGGCTGAGACAGAATGATCACAAGTTCCAGCCCAGCCTGAGCAACTTAAGACCCTGTCTCTAAAAAAAAAAATTAGAAAGGGCTGCGGATGTAGTTTAGTGTGAGCCTCAGGTTTAATCCCTAGTGCCACAAACAATAACAATAATAAATAAAAATGCAATGAGCAACAAAAGGTTAGCTAGTATACAATTGGCCTTCCATATGCATAGGTTTCTCATCTGTTGATTCAACCAACCGCAGACCAAAAATACATTTTAAAAAAATTGTGTCTGTATGGAATATATACAGGTTTTTTTCTTATTATTCCCTAATCAATAGTGTATAACAACTACATACTTGGCATTTATAAATTACTAGAGATAGTTTTCAGTGTATAGGAGGATATATATAAGTTACAGCATTTCACATAAGGCCCTTTTGTATCCAAAGGGTTTGTTGTCAGATAGGGATCCTAGAACCAATCTCCCACTGACACTGAAGGATGAATGTAATAGTTTTTGCTGGTGCTATAACAAATCACCGTGAATTTAGTGGCTTCAAACACATATATGTAATCTGGGCCAGCAGACACAAATGAGTCTTTCAGGCTAACATCACGGCAGCAGCAGGGCTGATTCTCCTAGAAGTTCTGAGGGGAGACTCCATTCCCTCAGCTTTTCCGGCTGCTTGCAGTTGTCACTGCCTGCATCCCTTGGCTTGTGGCCCCTTCCTCTGTTATCGAAGGGCATCACTTCTGTTTTAGCTTCTGCTCTCATTTTAGCTTCCCCTTTGGGTTCGTCTGTGTCCTCCTAAGGGCCTTTGTGATTCTGTCAGTCCCACCAGGTACTCCAGGATCATCTCTCTCTCTTAAAATCCGGACTTGAGGGGCTGGGGACTTATCTCAGTGGCATAAGCACCTGCCTTGCAAGCAGGCAGTCCTGAGTTCGATCCCCGGTACCGATAAAAAAGAAAAAGACAAAAAAAAAAAAAAAAAAAAAGAAAGAAAAAGAAAAAAAAAAATCCGGACTTGAACACTTCTGCACAGATCCTCTGAAAACGTTATGAAGTAACATTCACAGGTTGTAGGGCTTAAGACAGGGACATTTCGGGGGAGCCACTACCCAGCCTACTGCAGCTGGTCTGAACACACTTGTATAAACACTGAATGCTCAAATAGAGAAATGCCACCTCTGAAACATTACTTCAGGCTGAGATGAAGGAAGGCCTGTCTGAGACATATCTAGACAAATCCACATGACAGACAAGAGCTGCAGGGCAGGGCAGAGAACACTTCAGGCTGAAGAATGGATAGCAGAAATGAGCTTAGCATGCAGAAGTGGGACTTTTCCATGGCTGGTGGCTGTTCCAGAATAAGAAAAAAATTTTTTTCTTTCAGTACTAGGGATTCAGTACAGAGTCTTCACGTAAGCTATATCCCCAGTCTTTAAAAAGATTATTTTTTAATTAGTCAAGCTCTTACTAAGTCACTAAGTTTTGCCCAGGTAAGGCTGGAACTTGGGATCTACCTGTTTTATCCTCCTAAAGTAGTGGGTATAGGCATCTGTCCTTGGCCAGAATAAGAAAATTGTTCTATTTTATTTGTTTGGGTTTTTTTGAGACAAGGTTTTGCTAAGTAGTTCAGTCTGATCTTGAACTCACTGTGTAGTTCAGACTGGCCTCAAACTCATAGCCATTCTCCTGCCTCAGCCTCCTGAATCCTGGGATTATAGGCATGTGCCACCATACCCAGCAGAATAAGAAAATTTTAAGCCCCATCCTGTTTCCTGAAATTTTCATAGGAACATGTGTGCGCGTGCGCGCGATACACACACACACACACACACACACACACACACACACTGACTATACTCAGCAGGGACCTCTCGTCACAAAACCCAGTGGAATTATCAGGACAACCTGAGAGTCCACATGGAAGCTGAGGGACCTTCATCAGCTACCCAGTAAGTTAGAACATTTTCACAAACTCTCTAACAAAAGCTTGTTTTGATTATGGCTACCAAGCACTTATTGACATTGTCACTTACAACTACATCTTACAAACCATGTTAACATAAACACCATACTGTATTTGGTTATTTCAACGGAGGCAGAAGCTTTAAAAAGGGACGAGGGAGGCAGAGGCTGCCTGCCCCTGGAAGGTGTGCAAAGGAGTTAGAAGCCACCAGCTCTTCTCCGTTGGCTGCAAGGCTTTTTCTTAGCATGTACTGAACTCTTGAACAACACAATGGTGGCTGATCCTCCACCTTCTTCTGAGTCACTGGCTCCTAATGATTCACTTTCCTTGGCTCTGAGCACAGTAAAGACCAAGAAAAACTAAGACCTTGGGCTCTCAGGCTTACAAGCAATCAGCAAACATACTTCAAGAGTCTAAGACAATTGAGAGTGTGCCTTCCCACCGTTTCACCTGTGGCAGATTGACTGTTCTCCAGTTCACTTCCATCCTCCTTAGAGTCTGCGTATGCCTTAAAGTGTGAATCTAGCCCAGTTTACTCTGTACCCAGAGAGCTAAAAGAGCTTCTGGTACAGAGCAAACGACCCATATTTACTTGTCCTTCATTCAACAAAGACCTCCCAGGCATCTCTGGGCGGAGCCCCAAGGACACACTATATTTAATGCCAGAACAGATTAAGAATCAACGATTCTTAAAAGCTTTTAAGGCCCATAGTGATCAGAACTAGGAAGTGATTTCCATAATGGAGAGTTATATATGACCAGAAAGATTTGCATACAATTATGAGCCTGGTCTTTTGATCAGATTCCACCCTCAGCGATCAAACTGAGACACTTGAGATACTGGTTTTTATGGCGCTTGTTAATCTGTCTCCTCTGACTCTGAACCACACTACCCAGCTGTGGGGTGTTAAAGGTTAAGCCCTGCTCTCTCTCCAGCTCCTCGGATGACTGCCTGGCAGCAGAGGGTGAAATGACCTCATTTATCTGGAGGCACACAGGGAAGTTCTAAGACAAAAGGTGATCTGCAAAGTGAAGGCTGTGACTCTGGAGTTTAAATAAAAACCACGAAACACATATGAAAAGCATAATATGTAATGACGATAATTATAAGGTTATGCATGCATACCACAAATGGCAAATGAAACCCTGTTGCCACATCCTAGGAGCCAAATACTGGAACTCTGTTCAGGAAGCAGATAGCTGCTTCTACTGCCTGAAACTTAGGGCTAGCAGGTTATTTCCCCCAACTTCCAGAAATACATCACAGTTTGATTACCAAATATGATATATTCATGACTTGTAAAACCCGATAAGACTGCCTCAGAGTCCAACTGGTTGTGTCTGTTCTAAGTCCAGAGGCATCTCATACTTTCAGCGTTCCCATCCAGGCCACACAGTGCCTTCTTTGTATTTCCTAGTGAACTTTATCCCGGGAGCAATTTAGAAGTCTCATACCCAAACAGCCATAAACGATGCAATTGTGTGCAACTGTACCTAGATAGAAGTTCTCAAAAATCAGAATAAGACCCCTCACCCTCTTGAGTTGGACGTCTCAGATGCTAAGGGAATTTGCAGTTACAAGTCTATCCTGGGTCCCTCCCAGCCCTAGGTGCACACTCTGAGTGGGAGGGGCAGAGGTGGCAGCTGCTTCATCTCTCGGTAGGGTTGTGCCGGGATAGTCAGAACAGGGAGACTCAGGAGTTACATACCCGTGTAGACTGCCAGATGAAAGGAAGAGAGATTTCTCTAGCGCAACTCACCATAACTTGCCCCCACCTCTCATTACTGGGGATTGAGCTACATCCTCAGCCCTTTTAAAAATCATTTTTTGTTTCACAAAGTTCACTAAGCTGCCCAGGCTGGGCTCCAATTTGCAATCCTCCTGTCTCAGCCTCCCACAGAGCTGGAATTATAAGTATGTGCCACCACTCCTGGCTCACCTGGCTCATCTAAATCCTATAAGGATTTGTGATTAGCACAGGTATATATCCTTGAAAGGTTACAAATGTACTGAAACTTCAGTAATCAGAGCTCGGCGTTTACTTTCTTGATATACCAGGAACTTCCAAAACTGCAGAGGGCTACTGTGCTCCCTCCTATGAATTGCCACGGGGGCAGCGGAGTTCCCTGAGGTCTAGGGGATTAGCGAGGGGGTGAGTAGATGGAGTCATCAAATTAATACATCGAAAAGATGGGGAATCTCTTTTCTGCGGTCGCCAAAAAGCAGGGTTTGGGGATAGCGCCCCAAAAGAGCGTGGATTTATAATTTCCAGGGCCATAGCCGCGCAGGACACAGAAGTGTAATACTCCAGGGGTTTGGTTTGGGCCCAGGAGTCACCCGGCGCTCTGCGCAGTCCGCGAGAGGGCGCGCTTTGGCCTCCCCGCCTGCCTCAGGTGGGGTGGCCCAGCCCGGTTGGCCCCCCTCGCCTCCGCCCCGCCCAACCTGGCCGCCTTAGTAGGAACCGCCCCGCCCCTCTCTAGCCCCGCCCACACGCTGTGCGCCACGCCTATTCAGCTGGGCTGGGTCTCCTCTCTGCCACTCTGGTCGCTACTATCCCGTTTTGGCCCCTCCCATGCGGACATTGGCCCCGCCCACCCTGCCGCCCAGGTGGGGCGGCCCCGCCCTCCGGCCCGCCACCGCGCCCTCTCCGCGGGGCTCAGGTGGGGCGCCGGGTCCGCCCCGCTCACCCCGCAGCGTCAGGCCGCTTAGTCTCAGCTCCTCGCGGGCGGCGGCACCGCAAGTTTCGGTATCTTGGCAGCAGGGGCCCGCACAAACTCTCCAGGGCCTTCGGGAGACTCTTGAGGGCTCCTCTTCAGAGGCTCTCCGGCGCTCCCGCCGCCCTCGGTCGGGCAGCCACGAGGCCCCGCAGCGTCCTCCCGCGCGCGCCTGCCCGCCCGGCGGCTGCAGCCATGTCGCGGGGGCCGGAGGAGGTGAACCGGCTCACGGAGAGCACCTACCGCGTAAGCGGGGCCGAGGGCGGGACCCTGGGCGCTGGGGTTCGAGGTCCAGACGGGGAGAGAGGTTGGGGGGCCTGGACTGTCGGGGCTCTGGAGTTCGGGTGCGAGGCGGGGAGAAGAGTGTTGAGGGGCTCCGGGAGGCTGGGGGCGCTGGCGTTCGGACCTCGAGTCTGGGAGCCCGGGGTGCGCTGGGGTTCGAGGCTGACGGGGGAGACTGAGGACCCCTGGCTTCGGAGTTCATGTCCGGGAAGGGCATGGCAGCTTACAGCTGTCGCCGGCTGGTCTGGATTTTTCACCTTTGGGGTCAGGAGGGCACTTTGTATGGGAAGATTCTCCCTTATCCCTCCCCACCCCCACTCTTATCCCTACCTCCACCCCGGGTCGCGGGAGACGCCCGAGAAACGCCCTCCTGCCTCAATCTACTCATTTTAGAGCTGACGTATCTGCGAGGAGTTGGGGAAGAGGGGAGAATCTGTGCGTTTCCTCGGGTTCCCTCCCTCCTCCCGACTCCTTGGGATCGGTGACCGCGCTGGCCAGGCTGCTGGGCTTTAAACCCTATGAGACCAAATAGACGAGCTCAAGTTTCCACTGAGAAAAGAAAAGAATGTAGGGGGAGAAACTCGTCTGTAATTAGGAATCGCCAGGTGAGCCAAGCTCCTCGCTGGCGTCCTTGGCTTGGGGAATTTTCTAAGCTGAGGGCAGTCCGTTCTCAGTGAGACTTTACCTCCCCTCTCCTTGGACCTTTATGAAAGCAGCTTTAAGTCAGACTTGGCCTTTTATACATCGATGATTTTGCAACGTTATTGCAGTCAGAGAGCACTGAGATTTTAATAAAATTGACCTAACCTTGTAGAACTCTTGATAGTCAATCTCCTAACTTTGCATGGTATGTGAAAGAATTTTTCCAGAAACAGACATAGGATTAGTGGCGAGTTTAGTAAGTTTAAGTACTTATAAATGAATTCCAGTTGAAATAAGATATGCGTTTAATCATCTCCTATTAATAGAATACAAAACGATTTTGTTTTAATTCTGTTTGGACACAGTGAACCCCAGAAACTTTAAAGTTTCCTAAATTCATTTGTAGTTATAGTTCAGGCCCGTAATTAGTCATTTTTAGAAACATTTTTTTTTAAACCTGAAATTGAGTTTCTGGATTTGCAGGGTCTGAGTGAGTTCCTAAAATCAGAGAAATTTATTGACTTTTGCAGAGTATGAATTTAAAAACACCATGAAAATATTTTTATAGTCTATCTATTGAAGTCCAAAAGGTTATCAGTTTCCTTCATCGGAATAGTAAGCTCTATACTGTAACATTTGAATTGACATGGCAACTTTGGGGTCAGCAGCTGTGACCAAAACCGTTCCTATTATTGTTTTCTTAATAGAGAGCAATTGTTAGAAATGCCATGAACTTGAATATGTAAATCCTAATGTTCATATTGAAATTGTTGATATTTTATTTTATATTGTTTGAGGGGGAATACTGAGAATCAAACCTCACATTTACCAGACAGGTGCTGGGCCACTTAAAATCTCCAGCCTTAAAATTGTTGATATTTAAACAATACTGAAGATGGGACAGGAGGTATGGGATGCTGATGTGTAAATAAAACATTCTTACTCATAAGCTTGGGGAATAATGGTTACTCTGCTGATAGTTAAGGAAAATCTGTGCAAGGAATGCAGATCACTAGGCATTGTATGTGTAGCATAAATACCCACCAAGGCACAAAAACACATGAAGACTGGAGTTTCTCCAGTGTAGGCTTATTTTTCTTGCCGTTGTGAAATGAGAATACCAACTTGAGACAAGCAAGCAGATGTATGGAGGAGACACTGCTCTTCCTCTCACTTCTGGCAGGACCTTCTGAGCGGCTGTACTCATATGAATTAGGCTGCCACAAATATCACCTACTTAGACATGTCAGAGGCAGGTGGGGAAAAAAATACAGATTTCATCAGTTTGTTTCTCTGTATTTGTAGACATAAAGCTGTGTAAATCATTTTCAGTTTTTGCAAGGTTGTGATACCCGGAAGATCAGAGGCCAGTGCTTAACAGCTTTGTATTGCCAGGTATCCGAAAGCTTACCAAAAGCTCACTAAATGATGGTTGGTTGGTTGGTTGATTGACTGATTATAATCATCATTTCCTTGTTAATGTTTTGGGATCAGGTTTTTCATGTTGAGGTGGTGGGATAAGAATTTATAGCATCAGATAACATTTATATAAGCTCTAAGATGAAGTGAAGACAGCTAGTTCATGGTTTGATTGTGAGGAAGATATACAGCAAAATTTTCTGTTCACAGCTCTGATTAGAGGCCTTAAGAGCCTTGGAATTTTCTGCCCCCAACCCCACCTGCAGTGATGGAGGCTAGAAATGGTGTAAGCATAGTATGGCAAATTCTGTTGGCAGTGGTAGTGAATCTAGTTTCCTTTATGTTGCCTAGCAGTCCGCAGTATTTTACTAATTGAAACACAACTTAATCAGGTGATTACAAAAACCACCTGCAAATGAGATTTTTATGACTTGCTAGTATGTGTTTGAGTTTTTTTAACATTCAATTTTCTTTGAATTAAAGGAATAAAATCTTTAGAGAAAAGGGAGATTTATGAAGTAGTGTGATCCTCTACATGCAGGATCAAATATCCTTAGATATATATTTACACATTTGTTGAATTTTAAAAGATATGTATTTAGACAAATGATCATTGGTTATCCCTGCCAACTCACAGGAGGCTATGTTTATTACTTTACAGACAAATGGCATGATAGTAAGCCCCAAAATAAATCAAGTAATGTTGCTGTTACTAATTAGAGTTGAGGCAAAGATCCCTCCTCTTTCCCACACTTTATAGTATGCCCATAATTTGCCCTCAAAAGCCTGCTTGGGCTTTTGCATGGTTTTCTGATGAGTACATGCTTTTGTGGGAGAGGAAGAAGTAAAGTTCAGAAAAACCTGTATTTAAGAGTAGCCACAACCTTCCTAGAAGTTAGAACTGTTAAAAGTCTTAGGAAATTGAGGGAGAATGAGTATAGTGTCATCCACGTATGTCTTCCTACATAGGCCTTACTAAGCAGTGAGTGAAGGAAAAAAATGATTTGGTGGGGGGACACAGAGGACTTTGAATGTCACTTCTCAGGAAGCTCTGTTCAAACAGCTCTAACATTGTCAGGCTGTTTGTTTCCCAGCACCACTTTAGGCTCTTAATTGTCACATTGTGGGAATGCATTTTTAGTATGTGATAATCTGAGACTACAAATGCAATAAAAATTCATGAAATTGGAAACATTCAAATTCCATTTCTTAAAACCATCTTTTATTTATTTATTTATTTAGTTAGTTAGTTTTGTTTTTGGTACTGGTAATTGAACATAGGACCCTGCATTTGCCAGGCAGGTGCTGTGTCACTGATCTATATTCCCAGTCCTTAAAACCCATTGTTTAAGTCTCATTCCTGTTTCAAGCAGCTGGTCTTTTTCAAGGTACAGCTGAATCCTGGAAAAGTATAGAAGTGTTAATAACCTGTCATAAATGTGGGAAAGATCATCTGAGTAGGCACATTGTCTAGAACAGACACACAGAGGGAGAAGGTGGGGGTCAGAACGGACAAGAAATCCAAACACCAGTTGTCCTAAGTTTCTTCTTTATTTTTTTGTGGCACTGTGGGTCAGAGTCAGGGCCTCGTACATAATAACCAAGCCACTCTACTACTGGGCTACACCCTCAGCTCTGCTGGCCACCCTGAATGCAGAGATGATCACATGAGACAGGAAGGAGAGGACACAGCAGATAGTCCTGTCACCTTCACATGCCTGCCAGATACAGGTGCCTGAGACTTAAGGTAATAAATAGAGCAATCCTCTATTTGAGAAAACTCAAATGACAGATCAGGAAGGTTGCAGGCATACCTTATATCTAAGTGCTGTGATGTATGTGAGTATGACTGACTTTTGGCCTGGGGTGTGTGGCTCCATGGAAGAGCACTTACTAACATGAACCAGACCCTGGGTTTGATTCCCAGCACTGGAAAAAGAAAAATAATTTTAGTTGACCAAACAATATATTTTCTGAGAATCCGAGGTTCATCTTACACTTTGAGCAGCTTGAGATACATGTTATCAGCCATGTGAGACGGTACACTTAAGTGTGTAAATACACTTTCAACATGGAAATGTTTAAATTGTTCTTGTTAAGTCTCAGTCTAAATCTTAGGCTGTTTGAGAATTTTCAGCTAACCAAGCCATTCGTTGTGTTAGCCTAGATTTTTACTTGTACTTGATTATATTGTGTTCCTCCATTTGACCTTTTGCTTCAGTTTTCTCATCAATAAAGAGGGATAACAACAGTACCTACTTCATAAGTTTGCTGTGAGGATTAAATGTGCTAAGGCAGGGAGACCCTTAAAGTGGTGTCTGGCATGTCATGGGTGTTTGGGAGTGCTGCCGTCCGCAGAGCAGTATGTGTTTATTGGACTGCCACCACCATGCAAACACTGATTTTCATGTTCTGTTCGTTGCTGGCCTTGGTAACTACGGAGGTGGAACTGGATAAATATTTGACAAAAGAATAGTGTTGAAATTATTGGCAAACATTTTTCTCTTTTCAATAAGCTGTATGTACCTTCAGAGGTTTTTAAATCCCTAATTCTGCTGGTACACAGTACACACTAAAAATATCTATGGAGTTAATACCGAAGGTCTGTTCTTATCACACAATTTCAACTGCAGCTAATGGGGCTGAGACAGCATGGGTGAAAACAACTACCCTATTTCAAGCACCTGTTGCTGTTATGTGCGTCCCGGGCTCTCCACTGACATTCAGCCTTCTCTAACTACTTTCTCAAGCACCACCGCTGCACCAGGCACTGTGGTCACTGCCGGGAAACGTACTGCAGAGCAAACCAGCAGTGGCTGAGTGCTTCTGGCCTCACAGCTAATGACAGGACAGGGGTACCAAAGTCTAGCATCTCCAACCTTCCCCTTCCTCCTCTGCCTGCCCGGGCTTATTGATTGTGTTTTCTTAACCCTGTCGCAGAGAGGTCCTGCTTTTACCAGTTTGTTTTGCATGAGTATAGGAAGAAGGAAGCAAGGATTAATATATGTGCAGATTAAGTACAGGAAGTTTTTAAAACAATTTGTAAAAAACCTTCGGAAATTTGGATACATGAGAGGTAGATGAGAGCCAAAAGTTAGAATTTTTTTTTTTTTAGAAATTTTGATTGCTTTTATAAGAATCTGAGAAATGCAAGTAAAGAATTAAACTTTTGGGGCTGGGGACTTAGCTCAGCGGCATAAGCACCTGCCTTGCAAGCAGGCAGT